AAGCCCATCACAAGCAGCTTTTAAATAATAACATACTGTATATATAAGGTGCACAGTGTCATTCACACAAACACCATCATGGTAACACACATGAAACTGAAATAATGCAATAAACATTAATTTAACAACATTAGGTGTAACACACAACCCTAATATACAAAACTGATGAGAAAAAACTAAGAAGAAACCGTTATTTCAACAAAAAAAAAAATCTAATTTGAAATGTAACGAAGGGAATTCTGAGAATGTCAGTTTACGGTTATTCACTATAAATTATACGGTTAAAATTACATGAATGTCCAATACAGTTTTTCACCGTATATAGTAGGTGAATTTACCGTTAACCATTTAACAGGTTTTTACTGTAGCATTTTTACAGTCTTTTACAGTTAAATTCACGGTAAATGCAATAAATCGTTTTTTTCCCCTAACCCAATAATGTGTGTAAAAAAATCTGTGCATATGCTGTTTAGGTTCCGATAACCTTGCCCGCTGTGGTGCTCTGGCGAGTCTGGTGGGGGACGGCATGCTGGATGACACCTGGGATGACAAAACCCCAAACAGAATGAGCACCATCCGTTTCATGGAGGATGATGATGATGATGATGATGATGACAAAGAGGTGAGGAAGAAGGAGGCTCTGCTAAATGTATTATATGGATTTAGCATGATTATGAGTTTTGTAAAAGTGATGTATCAGGTGCCTTTTTAGTGGTGTTTTGGTTTATAGATGGCCTCAAACTAACCTGTCACTCAGATAAACACTTTGTTTGCAGGGGCATATACATTTTTTAAGTAAAATTCTCACAGGAATAAAAATGCCCACTTTAAATGATAAATATCAGTAGCTAGTAGCAACTCCTGGGCTAAATACTACAGAGGATATATGTAGTGTATATATGGTGCATTCCATTGACCTCGGATGTCAGAGCTGGGAATGACGTCACACCCAAGTGGACTGTGTTCCAGTAGAGAAGTCAGAAAACCAAGTGTGACAAGCCATTGTTAGCAATACCAGTCGATTATAAACACACAAAAAGTGTTTATAAGTGCTATTAAACAATATATTACTACTGTTTCTCTTCTGTTGATGCATTGAGCAGCCATATTGGGTTCTGAAGTTAGAGTTGTTACAATTCCTCAGAGATTCCGAGTTGGAACTCTGACTTGGGAGGGCGTTCCAGTTAAAAGTTCTTACTGGGAATTCCAACTGACGAGTACAAATGGAACGCACCATTACTTCAGTTTTTTTTAAACAGTCTGCAAATCACTGGACCTGTTCCAGTACCCAAAGTTGCAGTCTTGACATATGTCTACTTGCATGTCTACTTATTTCCTATATTTTGCCCAAATATTCAAGTGGGCATGAAGACCACAAGGTTTTGGTTACCCAATGGGACACACTTACAACATAAGCCCTATTCAGACAGTAATTGTTTCTCATGGGGACGTAAGCTATTTTCAGCATATACAGGAGTTAGTCTGTGATTTTATTGCCTCTGAATCCAGATTGCTGGTGTTTTTCTCCCACCACCGGCATGAAAATCCTGACCGAATTACCTACTGTTTTTTGACACACACCAAAGTCATGTGGTAATTTTATTGTTGTCTGAATGCAAGAAGAAATCGATTCAAAATTCAAATCTTTTTTGTCTACCGCCGAACACCGTACGGTAACTGTTGCACTTCACTGTAATTTGCATGCGTATTTAATACTGAAATTCTGGAAAGTATTTACAAGAACAATATTTCATAACTGCTCCACCACAGTGAGTGGGAGCTGTTAAGAGCAAAAAGAAGAAAAGTGTGTAATCATTTGAATTCATTTGGGGTGCTTCAAATTAAGTGATTTGACAAACATTTACAAATGATATGTAATATAGAATTAATTTAACTTGCACTGTAAAGTTTTCCTTGACGTGTCCTGAACGTGATGGAAGCAGTATTAGAGAGACTGTGGATATACAGTAAGTGTGCATTAAGGGCACCGGGCATTTTGGCATTTTTGCAGTCTTGAACATTTACTTCCGGTCACATGCACTGGCTCTCAAGTGGCCAAGTCCGCAAGTGTGGGTACTGGGACAGGTCCCGTGTGTTATGCATATTTCAAAAGCAGTATGCTTTGTTGTGTGACATGACCTCATCATGCTTTCCATCGTCTTGAAAATGAAGTCAGATCCACTTTTCATGGGGTCTTAAAATGCTCTGAAGGGGGCTATAACGAGAATCGGTGAAATAAAAATGGTTCTTTTTCTTCCTGTTTCTCAGAGAACACTGTTGCGGCGGGCCACGCCACACCCCGGCGAGCTGAAGAACATGAAGAAGGTGGCCGAGAGCATCCGAAAGGACATGAATGCCGCCAAAGGCCTGGATTCCAACAAAAACGAGGTCAATAACGCTGTGGACCGAGTGACCACGTCTGTGTGACCGCTTTAACTCCGAGATGTCTCTTACCCAGTGTGTCTGTCCCTGAAGCCCCCGCAGAGCCATTCCTCACTGTGTTCTCCCAGGGGCTGACCACCCTTTTGCTCTCCTGGGACCACCAGAGCCCCTTTTCCAGCCCTGCTAACTTCATCTGCTCCCGCCCTATGTCAGGAACGAGTCCTCACTACACGGTGCCTTCTTTTCTAAAGACCTCCAGAGCAATAACCGGCAAAGGAATGCTTTTCTTTGGCACACAAAATAGGTAGTTGCACTACAAGTCTTAGCATAAATCTGTCAGAACCTTTAATATAGAAATACGAATTTTATATATAAATACATATGCTCTATTTTTTTATTTTCAAACACTGGGTGCATTTCTTTCTTTTGGATCTACTGATTTTAAAAATGATTGTATAGTTGCTTGTGAATATTGACACTTTTGTACGCGTGGCAGCTCAGGTGGTGTACATTTTAGAAACAAACAAACAAAAAAAGATGCATAGCCAGTTTCTTAATCAATGACCTTTCCCATCGCTTGGACTTAATTTTAGAATTAAAAGCATTCGAATAAAGTGATGGATTTTTAATGTCATACACAGTTCATTCTTATTTGAACATGAGGGGGCAGCTTTGTATTTCATTGTCAGGTTTTTCTTCATAACCCATGCAGTTTTCATTGTGTGTAAAGAACATGCTTTGTACTAAAGTTAATTAAAAGGGCTAATGTTCTGGACCATGAGCTGAAACACTGACAGACCGGCGCTGTGCTTTACCACGCTGATATCACTTAAGTAAGCTGACTTCTGCTGCAGTTCAAATGTGCTTCCAGCTTTTTAAAAAGCAGCTACAGTAAAACTCTTAAAATAAAAATCTCTGTAGTTAAGGTAAGGGTAGTTAGTTATGATCTTCTGCTTTGGTTTAGGTGAGCAGTTTTTCCCTCCAAGTGCCAGAATACACTTTTACAAGCACTGCTATCAATTTTTTTTATTATTATTTTTTTTATATATGTATATGGTACACTACGGACTTCATTTTACATTGTATGTTTTCATTTGTATTCCAAGAAAGACATGGTTTTTAATGTTGATTTTCATCTTTTAATTATTTCTTGTAAATGAAGCTGCACAGAAAACAAACGTAAACGGGCGCTGTTTCTGGGCCAGTACGTTTATGACTTTAACCACTGAAATAATAAAATGATTTCATGAAATCAAAGGTTGAGATTCATTATTTATACAGAGGTTTAATATTAAACAAAAATGCTACAGATGTCTTGCCACTGCTTTTGTTCTTTTCGGATTAATGTTAAAGGAATAGTTCAGCCAAAAATATAATTCTGTCATTATTTAATCACCTGTACGCTGTTTTTTTTTCTTCTTCCTTTGACTCTTACAGTCATTTTTTATCAATGAGTTATTATCTGAGCTTCAGCCCATTGTTTGTCCACCCTTGCTTGTTTTCTCCCACTCCGTTACCTCACTATTTCCTCGCATGTGTTGCTTTTTCTGTATTATTCCACTTATACATTTTGTTGTGTACTGAACATTTGATTTTTATCAATAGATACAATTTCCATTCCATAATGATTATTATGTACTATTCAGACAAGCACTTCATTCTGTTGCTGAAACTTTGGAATGCACATTGTATACTGTATATGAATAGACATGAATGGGCTCTACAAATGGAACAAGATTTAGAAGTTGCTCTATAATTTTACACATTGTGCTCATTTTGCGGATTCCATATTCCACATGTCCACATTTAAAGGGCATTTATAACAAATGTTACAAATTACTTTCTCTTTTGAATACGTGCTGCGTTCTTTAAACTTTATTCATGGTAGAATCCTCACAAACACTATGACAGCTGTGCAGAACTTCCAATTTAAAAAAAAATTCTATTCAGGGGACGTTTCATCACGTCCTTTGTGTAACTCCTTCCAAAGGTATGATTGCAGGACATTTCTCACAGCTGAAGATTCATCCATCCATAATACTATACTGTTTGTTGCGTGATCTCCGAGTTCTTTTGGCGTCTTATTTGGAAGCGTCCGCTGTGGCTCCTTCTTTGAAACTCTGTTCAAGGACAAGCTGCTGGCTTTTTGACAGTCTTCTCACTTTTGCAGATGAAACTGGTGTTTGGCATTTACTGCTCAATGAAGCTTCTAGCTGAGCTCCAGCGAGTCGTCTGGTTCTCCAACTAGAGACTGTGATAAAAGATTTGCTTTCTTTTCTTCCCAAATCAGAACTGCATATAATAATTCATTCTCTCTCTCTCAAAAAAACAATTGACTATATTTTTCCTTGACTATTTGAAGGTAAAACTCGGAGGAAGATGCTCTCTTTAAGAACAGTGTTTAGCAGGTGAATGATTAACGTTATAAGTTAACAGAAACAATATGAATATATATTTGTCATTTTAATGATGCCATTTAAATTTTTATTTCAATGTAAAATACGAAATCAAATAAGTATGTATTTAGACAATTTAGTTAACTAATTACTGCCATATCAGATAAAAATTGATTAAATTCTTCCTGAATTGATGGAATGTCATATGATTATATGATTCCAACTGGCATTATGATGAAGAATTTATATATTTGAAATGTGTTCTTAAACAATGAATCTCTGAATTATAATAATCATTCAATTAAATTAGTTCAGAGATTTATGTTTAAGATTAAAAAATTAATAGATGAGATTGTGACATCGTCAAGAAGAGAATTAAATAAGGTTTTTAAAAATGTGTGTTACATTGGTCATGTATGTCTTTTCAAAATCGATTATTACTGTTGCAATTGGATGCATGATATATTAGATTTTAACGAATTCATAATTTATGAATTTATGTTTATAAGACCATTCAGAAATGCATGAACATGCTAAATGATGGGAGTATGAACAGACGATTCAACTGTACCATATAAAAAAACATGTATCCTAGCTACATGCACTCAATTAGAAATTTCACAAATCCTTTTTCTTCATCCACTTAATTAGTGAAGCAGCTGCAGTCTCAGTAGAGCTTAATTGGCAAGTAATGATGGAGATGCTTTCTGGTCGCTAAGGTTACCTGATCATTTGGACAGCAGACAGAAACAAGTGATGTTTCTTAGAAAGGAAATTAAAAAAAATCAAAAGACCCCTCAAGGCAGGACGTTATGGTGATTTATCAGAGGAAGGGGTGTTATAAGACAAAATGTAATATAATAAAAGACACCAAATTGAATTAGTTTATTTATGAATGATAATAATCGTGACCACGTTCTGAAGCACGTGTGGAATCAGTCCAATGGAGAAGTATCATGAGTGGGGTGACATGAGCAACCAAGAAGCTTAAAGGGATTGTTTACCAAAAATAAAGACCTTCGTTCATATTCGGAACACAAATGAAGATATTTTTGATGAAATCCAAGAGCTTTCTGATCCTGCATAGACAGCAACTCAACTGAAACATTCTAGGGCCAGATAGGTAGTAAGGACTTCATCTAAAAAAAAGTCCATGTGACATCAGTGGTTCAATCGTAATGTTATGAAGCTACGAGAATACTTTTTTGTGCGCAAAGAAAGCAAAAGTAATGACTTTGACGTAAGAGTACCAAGACGAATGCCTGTGCATTCCTCTGACTGAAAACAAGGCACAGCGCATCTGGTTTCTACGCCAGAATGCCGGCTGAGAAGAAATAAACAACTGATCTGCCTTAAGCTCTGTGGATGCAATCGTCCAATGATTGAACTGGAAAGAGGGGATTTTGCTTCTCCTGTTCAGCATCCTTGAAAGGACGAGGATAAAAGGCTTGTAACACTGTGAGCCTTGGTGTAGAGGTGACCACTTTAGAGACATACCTGAGTCTGGGGTAAAGGCAAGGCCCTAACCGTGCCTGGGGCAAAATCCAGGCACAAGGGAGAAACTTTACAGTGCCTTAAGATCTCCTATCCTCTTGAGTGAGGAGATAGCAAGGAGAAAGACAGTTTTAGGGTGAGGAATTTATCTGGAACTTCCTCAGTGGGTTTAAACAGGGAGTTGCACAAACCCTCCAGAACCAACACCAAGTCCCAGGAGGACTCCTTGGTGCTGTCACGGCGCGGTCAGGAAAGACACACCGTGTGAGCAAGGGTTTTGGGTCCAAGTGCAGGTTTATTTTACTGCCAGGGAAAACAAAGGAAAAAACAGAACATAAACAGAGCTGAGACTCTGAAACAGGCTAGAAACACGCAAATGGGCACTGATGCAATACGGCCAACCACTGGCTTGCATCAGTCCCGGAACAGACACTAGAAACACTCGTAACCCTCGTGACTACAAACAAACAGTAAACTCGTGACACAACTCAACCAAACATTAATTATCCGCCCCGAGTGGCGTGGGGAAGGCGCCTAAATAGTCCTCATGACGGGCCACAGCTGTGTGAGAGTGAGTGTGTGCACAGGTGTGTGGAGTGCAGGTGATGGAGTCCCGGATGGGCGACAGCTGTGTGTGTGTGTGAGTGGGTGCCCAGGTGTGTGGTGTCAAGGTGACGGGGAAAGAGTCCGGGAGGATGGGAGATGGCGACCTCTGGTGGTGAGAGGGAGAACACCAGACGCCAGCCCCTGACAGGTGCAGTGTGCAGGATGGAGGAAATGAGTAATGAGTGGGTCTCTTCCCAATTTTTATTTAATTTTATTTTCTATATAGTCAAGTCAAGTCACCTTTATTTATATAGCGCTTTTAACAATATAGATTGTGTCAAAGCAACTGTACAGCATTAATTAGGAAAATAGTGTGTCAATAATGCAAAGTGACAGTAGTAAACACTAATTTTTCTGTTAAAGGCAGTTCATCATTGAATTCAGTGATGTCATCATCCAGCTCAGTTCAGTTTAAATAGTATCTGTGCAATCAAGTCAACGATATCGCTGGAAATGAAGTGTCCCCAACTAAGCAAGCCAGAGGCGACAGCGGCAAGGAACCAAAACTCCATCGGTGACAGAATGGAGAAAAAACCGTGGGAGAAACCAGGCTCAGTCGGGGGGCCAGTTCTCCTCTGACCAGACGAAACCAGCAGTTCAATTCCAGACTGCAGCAAAGTCACATTGTGCAGAGGACTCAACTGGCTCCTGTGGTCTTGTCCCGGTGGCTGTCTGAGACAAGGTCTTTACTGGGGATCTTTATCTGGGGCTCATCTAGTTGTCCTGGTCTTCGCTGACTTTCAGGGCTGTAGAGGTCCTCTCTAGGTGCTGATCCACCATCTGGTCTGGATACGGACTGGATCCGGGTGACTGCAGTGACCATCTGATCTGGATACAGACTGGATCTGGTGGCTACGGTGACCTCGGAATAAGAGAGAAACAGACTAATATTAGCATAGATGCCATTCTTCTAACGATGTAGCAAGTACATCGGGTGTTATGGGAAGTGTTCTCGGTTCCGGTTGACCTAATTAATGCAGCCTAAAAATCCTTTAACAGATTTGAATATTAGAAATGTGTAGAATTAGTGTGTTATGTGTAAGCCAGGTTAAAGAGATGGGTCTTTAATCTAGATTTAAACTGACAGAGTGTGTTTGCCTCCCGAACAATGTTAGGTAGGTTATTTCAGAGTTTGGGTGCTAAATAGGAAATGGATCTTCCGCCCGCAGTTGATTTTGATATTCTAGGTATTATCAAATTGCTAGAATTTTGAGACTATAATGTAACAAG